TGGAGTTCTCAGAATTTTTCGATAGTTTCTTTGGACTTCCTCGAAGTTCCCTAGATTTTCTCAAGATGTTCTTGACTTCACTGAAGTTCACTGTACTTTTCTGAAGTCCACGTAACTTCTAAAATCTCTCACAATTTTCCTGAAGTAAATGGAACTGCCTTTACTTTTTCGAAACTACTTGGATGCTCATGGAACTTCCCTTAACATATTTAGAATTTTCTGCAAATTTTCCCAAAGTTCCCACATTTTTTTTTTAATTATAGAAAATTCGTGATGTTTTGAAAATTTCCCAGAAGATCTCGAAAGTTCTTTGAAATGTCTGTAATGTTCCTGAAGCTAATGAAACTCTCCTAAGGTTCTCTGATCTTACCTAAAATGCTCGGAACTTTTCTCTTATTCATGAAATTCTTTTAAAGCTTTTAGTATTCACTGAACTTAACTCAAAAGTTTTATGAAGTTTTCTCATCTCTGAAGTTTTCTGTACTAGGGTAGATGTACCAGTAATGGTTATACGTTCCACGTTGCTGTGTTCCAATTATGGCATATGAAACTTCAATATGCCTTAATTGGAACACAATATAATAGGAACGTATAACCATGACTACTACATCTACCCCACTTGAAAATTTTAGGGCATCTCAAAGTTTCCCGTAATTTTCCTGAAATTAATTGAACTGCAATCACCTTCCCAGAAGTCCCGCCAACTCTCGAAACCGCGCTGAAGCTCACGCCCAAAATGATCCCGCATTTTCTTGATGTTCATGAAATTTTCTTGAAGTTCTCGGTGTTTCCCTGATGTTCTCAGATCACCCCTAAAATTATCTGGACTTCAAAGAAGTTCCCGAAGTAATCTGAGCTCCTGTAATCTCAAAATTCCCTGAAAAATCATGACTTCGCTGGAGTTTTTTGAACTTCCCTGAAATCTACGGGACATCTAATTTTCCTGAAATTAAAATGGAACAATTTATAATTTAGTTCGTAGATTTACAATGCAGTTTTTTTTTTAATTTTCGTGAAATTCATGGAACTACCTATAAATTATCGGATCTAATTCTTCAACATGTTTGAACTTCCCCAAAAGTCTAGACTTTCCTGTTGTTTTACTTGTTTTCCTGATTTTATTTGAATTGCCCGAAAGATCTCTGAACCTCTTTAAAATTATCTAGACTTCCAAAAAAATCAGTATTTTATAAAAGTTCTCACTATTCACCTAAAGTTAATTAAATTGCCATGAAGTTACTAGGTCTTCCATGAATTTTCCGTAATTTTCTTGAAGTTTCGAAACTTTTTTGAACCTCGCATAACTTTCCCCTAATCTTCCCCGGAATTCACCTAAAGTTAATTGAATTGCCATGAAGCTACTAGGTCTTCCTTGAATTCCCGTAATTTTCCTGAAGTTTCGAAAAGTTGTTTTAACCTCGCATAACTTTCCCCTAATTTTCCCCGGAATTCCCTAAATTTTTTAATGTTCCTGAAATTATCCAGATACTCATATAACTTCCCTGAAGATCCTGCAATGTCCCTGAAGATTTTGGAAAATTCTTAAAATTCTAGGAATATTCCATAATTCCTTGGAACTCTTTAAAAGTTTTAGCAATTTTCCTGAAGTACTTAACCGCTCAGAAGTTCTGTGATCATTAGACTGATGCAAAATTTGACTTTTTCGCTCCACAGTGCTTAAATGGTTTCAAATCGGGTCCTGATTAGCCTCTCAAAGTTAAAACTCATTTGGTTAGAAACAGACTTCACACAAGACATTTGAAGTTTACATGTAAATTACTATGGGAAACCTCAACTTTTTGTTCATTGCCTTCTAGTCTTTTTCCATATTGAGCTGTGCCATTCTTATAGAAAATTTTCTCAGCTACAACTTTGCTGAAGATTGTTTCTATGTAAAACGAGACAGGAAAAAGTTATTAATTATTTAAGAGATTGGTAAACTTATGACATGATCAAGCAGCTGCTCTGTAGGCAACACTGTATTTTGCAGTGTGACATAGTAGCCATGATTTGTGTGTCCTATTCAACGCCCCAGAAACACCAATGTTGCCTGCTGAGCAGTTGATTGAGCATGATCATAAGACATCAGCGCATTGAACCATTTATAACTTTCGATCCTTGCATTTAATTAAAAAGTGGTCTTCAGCAAAGTTGTAGCTGGGAAAATTTTCTACAAGTACAGTTTGAAGCAGACCAATATGGTGAATTATTAGATAGACATGAACAAAAATCTTGGTTTTACCATAGTAATTGTCATTCAAACTTCAATTGGTTTGTGCCATCTCAGTTTCTCACCAAATGGGTTCAAATTTTGAGAGGTTAGTCAGGATCCAATTTTGAATCGTTTAAGTATTGTGGAGCGAAAATTTCAAATTTTGCATCACTCTAGTGATCATCTTCGAAATACTCGGAGCATTCCTAAATATAATGAAACCACCTTAAAATCTCAGATCTCCTTTGATGGTCTCAAGACGGCGTTTCACAGATTTGAATATTAAAAATACTCGCAATTTTCTGTACATTAATGGAACTGTCTTGATGTTTTCTGATCTTCGCTAAAGCCCCGCATTTTTTAAAGTTCTCAAATCTACCATTGAAAATACAGAACTTCCTTTAAAATGTTCTCACATTTTCCTTATGTTCACGTAACTTCCCTTAGCTCAGTCGGTAAAGGCGCAGCTATAAAGCAAAACCATGATGGAGGTGGCTGGGTTTGATTCCCGGTCCAGTCTAGGAATTTTTCGGGTTAGAAAATGTCTCGGGCATAGAAGTATGATTATACTTGCCACACAATTATACTAATGCAGAACTGGTACAGGCACCGCTCTCAATTAATAACTGTGGAAGTGCATCTAGGACACTAAGTTGAAAGCACGCAATAAGCTAATATGTGATAAGCAATAATCTTGAAATGCGAAGAAGAAGAAGAAGAAGAAGAAGAAGAAGAAGAAGAAGAAGAAGAAGAAGAAGAAGAAAACGTAACTTCCCCGCGGCAAAAATCACGATTCCTAAATGTTTATAGGCCTCTTGAATCTTTGCTGAAGTTTTCCTTTAAAATTCCAGAAATTTCCTTGAAATTAGTGGAACAGCCCTGTGGTTCTCCAATCTGTCCTGATTTTTCGAAGCTTCCCTGAAATTCTCTCAAATCTCTTCCCTCTCAAAAGTTCTCTCAAAGTTCTTGGTTCTTCTTGTTCTAGGCTTTTTACGCTTCTGTAGCGAGCGTTTTTCGGGCTCTTGGTTTAGTGTTCTAGATTCACTTCCACAGTTATTAAGTGAGAGCTTTATATGCCAGCCAATGCATGAATTTGTATACTGTGTGGCAAGCACAATGATACTCTATGCCTAGGGCAATCAAGAAAATTTCCGAGACGGGGAATCGAACGCACTGGTAATACCATGCTTTTCCTGACTACGCTATCTGAGGCCTTTGAAGTTCTTGGTACTGTCATGAAATAAATGCAACTGTCCTGAAAACCTTTAAACATCCATGAAGTTCTCTGGACTTCTGTGAAGTTTTCGTAATACTTCTGATATTTTTTTCCCTGGAGTTCTCTGATCGTTCCTGAAATTTCCAAAACTTCTTTAGGATTCCCGAAGTTATACATAAGTTAATGCAACTGACTTTAATTTATCGGAACCTACCTGTACAGAACTTTAAACTTTCCAGAAAGTCTGGACTTTCCTGAAGATTTCAAAACCTAGCTTCTCTGAGATACTTGGACCATCTTAACAGTTTCAACAATGTTTCTCAAGTTCTCTCTTCTCTGAACTTCTTCTGATTTCCCTGAACTTGCAGAAGCTAATGGAACCGCCTTTAAATTTTTAATGTTTTCCTGAAGTTTTCAAAACTTTCCAATTGATTTAAGAACTTCCCATATTTCCCACAGTTTGTTTATAACTCTCGGCATTTCCTTCATTCCGCAAAACGTTTTTAACGTTCTTACGTTTTTTTGTGAAAATAAATTAACTTTCCTGAAGATATCTAATTTTTCTTTAAGTTCACGGAACTTTCCTTAAATCCATGCAATCCACCTGAATATTCACTGCGATTATTTTGGAGTGGCGTTGCGCGTAGTAGTTTGGATTAAAAATTACCACAGTGATTAAACATTTCTACTGAGAGCTAAGCCATGCGTTTCAACAACCCCACGCATTTCAACTTGCCCCGGTTTAGCTTATATAAAAGCAAAAAAATATAAATCTTTGCTCAGAAGTCGAATCGATTGGCGGTCTTCGACAAAATTGTTCTGCATAGTTTTTCCAATCTAAATCACAATATTTTTTTTTTCACAATTAATCATGTTTTGTTGTTTTTGATATTATCCACATCCAGAGGGCCAGTCACTTTCGAATGTATGTTTTTATTCATTATCGTCTCTATGGGCAGTTTTAGATGCACAAAAATTGCCCGAGAACATTACTATGGTGATAAGGTAAACACTCGTTTATTTGTTTCCTTCTGTGAAAGCATGTTTAGTCACAAATCGTGGATTCTATGATATTTTCCATACTGCAAAAAATATTTTCCTACCACTGAAGGGGTGACATCTCTCGGATCTTCAGTATAGCTACTACTCAAATCATATACTTAATTGATAAATTTTTGAATCTTTGATTCTTAGTTTCTTTACGATTTCCATGCTATCTCCCATACAAACTTTAAAGTTCTCCCGTAAATCCAGCTTGTAACGAAATCCGTTCACATTTGGCACAGTTGCTAAGAATCTCTATACATATCGAAAAAAACAGTGGGGGAGCAGGTCGTTATGATCTGCCATACAAATTAGACCCACCCTAATGATCACACTTTTCCGATTTCCAATAGTCGCTTAAATTGTTGATCAATTTCTGATTTCGAAACCAAACTGAAAGTGTGCACTTCACGATGGAAGCACCTTCAAAAGCTACATTCTTCCTCTCTAGAGTAGACTGCATATTTGTCGATATCATTCAAACAGTCGCGATTGTCGCCGAAGAAATCCTCCCCCCTCCCTTCTTACCTCAGCTTGGTTTCGTTTTCGTAGTGCTTCATAAAACTCTCGCTGGCCGTGTGATGGTCCACGATGGTGATGTTTCGGCATTGGAACGAATGCAGCACTGCGATATTGATTTCCACCAGGGCCTTGTCCTTCCACAGCGACGTTGGATTCCGTGTGTCCAGGCCCATTTTCACTGCGATGGGCTTCGATTGAACCAATCAGTCCAGACAGAGAGACACACGGATCGGGGATAACAAAGACAAACGAGAAAACACAAACAAAAAATCGTCAGAGACAGTGTATGGGGAAGATGATTAGGTTTTTCGATTTAGATCCTGCTGCATGTTTGCAGACTTGTGGGATTGAATTGAAGCTCAACCGGTTCGATCGATGAGTGTTGATTTAAGCTTTGAGTGAATATCATGGGAATATTGGATTTTGGGATGGGATTATCCTTACCTCCAGCAGATTCCTCCTGTTAATGTCGCACAGATTTCGGCACCCGATTTCCGTTGACATATACCACCCGCTGAAGGAGGTGGCCGTGAACTGGATGCCCCCGCAGTCGAACAGCATTCCCGAAACGGCGGGAAGTGCGTACCATCGAAGATTCATTTCGGCGAACCACTTGAACTGAGGATGGCTGAACGGGACTTCCAGGATCAGCTCCGAGGGATAGTCAAAGTAGTCCGGATCGTGTCCATTCGCTGAAACCACCACTGGCAAAATGTCCCACTCGGTTTGTTTGCTTTTCCATCCCAGCTTGATGCAGAACTGCCATCATTTCCCAGCACCAACAGCAGCAACAGGTTCCCATTCGTGGTAAAGTCATAAGAAGGAAGTAAATAGAAAATTGATAGTTTAATAATCAACATCAGCCGGGGTCGGTTTGCGGGGTCAGGCATGTGCAGAAACGGGAGTAAGAAATGACCCCGAAAGCCGTAATAAATTTTCAATTTCATACATCAGTGAACTCGACATTCATCGGATCGCCAATGATTTTGCCGTCTTGGCCCTTGTAGCCGGCGTAGGAGATGAGTTGGGAGTTCCAGACACGATAGTCGTGCGTTCCGTCCGTTCGCTGCGGGAATATCGTTATCGCCGATCTGGGAAAAATCAGAGAGAAAGGAAGGTGCGTGAAAATTGAGTTATAACGATGGAAGGGACTTTGATGGGGCAGTGAGGTTGGTGAAATTGGTTCTCAATTTTAGATGGGAAATTACACTCCAATCAGCAGTGTAACAAACTTACAGGTGTTTACCGTGTTAGCGTGCCAACGCAATTTACTGAGGACTTAGGAATATCCTGGGATATACTTAGCTGGATAAGTATTTTTTTATGCATATAACTAATTTCGTCTGGACTTCCAAGTGTTTACTTTTGCTCGACCTGGTTTTTCACTCTGCGGACAAAATAAATAACCTGTTTTCACACTACAACAATGCGTGAAGAGATCATATACTTTTGTTTTGCACTGAACGGATTTTAGTGGAACTTAAAGGCAGACTAAAATTAAATTGGAACACCCCTCGCGTGCCGCTAGCACGCCTCTAGTGTTGAGAATTGAAAATCTTTGACAGTGGTTTGTTTACACTTATATACAGAACAACTGGTGCAAGTTTGATCAAAGTCGTCGATGACGCAATATGAAACTCGAAAGAAGAAAAAAAAAATGTGCGCAAACACCTGGAAAATCCGGAGTGGTCCGGTTCCAAGCTGGCTAAAGTGCTGAAGATGCTGAAAACGACAGTTTGTCGAGTGCTCAAAACCTACAAGGATACCCTGAGTGTGGAAAGGAATCAGCGGACCTACGAAAAAACTGGAACCAGGGATCGTCAGCTGCGCAGCAAAGGTGTTGAGGTGCGTTAAAGCCAACCCCGGTCTTTCGATTCGAGATGTGTCCAGAAGGTACAACGCCAACTTTCAAACAGTGTGGAACATCCTTGCCAGGAAAGGATACAAGTCGTATAAAGCCAGTAAACATGGTTGTATTCACGGGGAACAAGGGCAAAGTCTGGAATGAAAGCGGCGAGCTTGTCATTACCAGAGTTGAAGAAGACGGTCTCTACCGTGTCAGTCGGCCGGAAAAATCGTTTCTGGTTAACAGCATCGAGTTGTGGCATAGACGTATTGGCCATGAAGGAAGCTTGAAGAAACTCAAGGAAGTTGCTAGCGGAATCGACTTCAAGAACGAAGCACTTACCAATTGTGTGTCGTGTCTCACGAGCAAACAGGCACTATTTTCGTTTCCCACCAGTGGTTAAAGAGCGAAGGAATTGCTAGAGCTGGTGCACTCCAACCTGTGCGGCCCGTGGAGGTGCCATCGTTTGGAAGAAGTCGCTACTTTATTACCCTCGTGGAAGATGCCAGTAATAAGGTAGTAGTGTTCGTTCTTGAAAGGAAGAATCTGGCGCTAGAAGAATTCAAGAAATTCAAAGCTAGAGCCGAGAGACAAAGCGGAAAGAAGCTGAAGATTTTGCGTACAGACAATGAGACGGAGTACGTCAACGAAAGTTTCTGTGAAGCTCTGGAACGTGAAGGTATCCGGCATCAAACCACGTATCCGTATACGCCTGAACAGAATGGAACGCATGAACCGCACGTTGGTGGAGAAAGCACGATGCATGCTCAACGATGCAAAGCTTGGTAAGCAGTTTTGGGCGGAAGTAGTTTCAACAGCTGCCTATCTGGTCAATCGATGTCCAACGCGGTCTTTGGAGAACATAACACCAGAAGAGGCGTGGTCTTAAAAGAAGCCTTGAGATTTTTGGATCTCAAGTGATGGCACACATTCCGAAAGTGAAGCGGAAGAAGTTCGATGCCAGAAAATCGACCTTCGTCGGCTATTGTGAGGACACCAAAGGCTACCGTTTGTACGATCCTGACAGCGGTGAGTTTCAAAGCAGTCGTGATGTTGCAGTCCTAGCAGAAGGTGAATCAAGTCCAAGCCTAACGAGTGATCAAAATGCACAGCCAGTGGAGTTCATGGGGCTAAATTTCCAAGAGCTGATGGTACCAATCAGCGCTGCTGATGGAAGCAATGAAGAGCAGCAAACCGAAGTCGTTGTAGTGTCTTCTGATGGTGAAGATGAAGACATCGAAGAGGTTGCGGATGCAGCTGAAAACGCGCTCCCATCGCAACTGAATAGACCAGCTGATTCGCAGCAAGAGTTAAGGCGCAGCGATCAGGAGCGCAGTTATCCAGGCAAGTACAATGATTATATTAGCTTTGGAGCATATTCTGGTGATACCATTTCCCCCAATTACCTCCTGATTTAACCAACGGTGAATGTGCGATCTAACGACTTACGAAGAAGTTCTGCAACGGCCTGACAGAGATCATTGGGTTAAAGCGATAAACGATGAGCTGAGGTCACTAAGCGAGAACAACACGTGGATGCTTGCGGATCTGCCTGAGGGGTGGAAAGCGATTCGGAACAAATGGGTCTTCAAAGCGAAGCGTGGACCTGATGGAACCATTCAGCGGTACAAAGCTCGTCTCGTCGTGAAAGGATGCACGTAGCACGGTATGCGGCGATTCGTTACCTCATGGCGTTGGCGGTGAAATACGGTCTGGACATCGATCAGTTGGACGCAGCTACTGCCTTTTTGCAAGGAGAGCTGAACAATGAATAGATTAACATGCTGCAGCCGCAGGGGAAAGACCTTCGAAATGGAAAGGTAAGCCGCTTGAAGAAAGCTCTTTACGGCTTGATGCAATCAAGCCGAGTATGGAATGCGCAGCTGGATGGCGTGGTTCAGAAGTTCGGACTGATTCGTAGATTGTTGCCTGTACTGGATGATGTGTGGAGACAAGCTGATGTTTGTCACTACGTAGACGATTTTCTGATCTTCACCAACGATCAGAATCTGAAGCGAAAGCTGAAGACGTATTTGAGCGAACGATTCAATGAAGCCAAGTATTGTTTGGGCATCCGAATTACAAGGAATCAAGCAAAAGGAAAGCTCTGGCTCGATCACCAGGTGTACATCGAGGAAATCATTCAGCGTTTTGGAATGACCGAATCACGTCCTGTAGCAACGCCAGCTGATCTCAGTTTAAGACTGGACAAATCCATGGGACCGAGAAACCAGAACGAAGCCGAGGAGATGAAGAAAGTTCCTTTCAAAGAAACTGTTGGATGTCTGTCTTTCGTAGCCCAGGTGACTCGTCCGGACATCGCTTTTGCGGTGAATGCAGCTAGTCAGTTCAGCGCCATTCCCGGACGTCAGCATTGGGAGGCCGTCAAGAAGATAATTCGGTACTTGAAAGGAACATCGACGAGTATTGAAAGGAACATTGGAGTATTCCAAGCGAGGATCATCGGAACTAGTCAGATTTAGCGATGCCAATTGGGGAGGAGATCCAGATAACCGAAGGTCAAGAACGGGTTACGTGTTCACGTTACAATGTGGAGCCATATCGTGTAACGTAAAAAAAGCAGCCCACCGTTGCTCTTTCATCCTGTGAAGCAGAGTATATGGCCCTGTCTCGAACAAATCAGGAAGCAATGTGGTGGAACAACTTGCGGTCGCAGATATTCGAGCAGCGGCCAGTAATTATCAATTGTGACAACCAATCTGCAATCAGCATCGCGAATAATGACTCATACAACCCTCGCACGAAGCATGTAAGCATTCGCTACCACTTTGTGCACGATAACCTACAGCAAGGAGCGACGAAGATCGAGGTATGCCGTGCATTGAAACTGACGTGTTTTGAATTTGCTGCTGCTTTATTTTCCGAGATGTTTATTGAAAATTTAGTGCAAAAAGTGTAAAACTCCGCTAGCTGGTGCATTTTCGACACACGGAAACTTTTTCAATAATATCTCGTGTGTTTGTTAGAGCTGTGTTTGGTTATTTAAAATTAAGATCGAAATAATGTTTAAGATTACCGCGAGTGAACAAACCGGGAGTTTTTATTTGCATTACTTTTCTACCATCATTTGTTTGCAAAAAAAACTACTTAACTAGTGAAAGTTAAGATACAAGTAATTTATAAGAGTCTAGTTATAAATCTCATGTATAAGCTCCAGAACTTCATAGAACACCAATATCAACCAAAAGTTTACATCAACCTTCTCAGCTTTGATGATTCTTGCAATTTCTAGTGAAAGAAATGATCTCCAGCACATCACTACACACTTAGAAAAAACTAATTTTACACGTAAAATATGAAACGTAAACAAACGTGTCTTGTAATTTTATGTGCTCCGAGACTGAAAAGTTCATTGCTCGATGAAAAGTACGTTTGATTAAGCTATATTTCGAGTCTGTTATGACTCAAATTTATGTTAAAATTGACGCTCGTATATGTCCGTCTCAGAGCACTGAATTTACATGATTTTTTTTCTAAGTGTGTAATCATAACCACGAGCAATGACGAGGAACTGCATCCCAAACCTCATGATAAACAAGGAGCGATTGCATCCAACGAAACTTTTAAGCGCAAAAGAATCATTAGCAACATAGGGGAAAATTCGGTAAGAACCTTCCATTGCATTATTTTATGATTCTTCAATATTGTACAAATATTTACACATTACACACAACTACACATAGTAACTCGGAGCGTTTGCTATGGTATGTCCACGCATCCTTCCACCCCTGTAGATTCAAGAAATATTCCCATTCATTACCAAGAATCATCTTTGCGGCAAATACAACGCAGTAGGCCTGGCCGTATTGATGTTTATATCATATGTCAGATATGCTGTAAACATCAATAAGACAAGAAACATGATTAGACCTCATCTAACCTTATCATTTTCCAGGATGCTTTCTCGTACTGGCTGCGTTTGTATTAGATTAGATTAGGTTAGAGATAGCCTACAACAAGGAGCAACGCAGCTGATGTACATTCCGACCATGGAGCATGGTTTCACATAGCCATTAGCCGTTCAGAAACAACAACAGTTTTGCAAACTATTAGGTATCTCGGATTAGGGAGGAGTATTGAATAACGCAGTAGTCTCTGATAATCCGTGTCCGTGACGGTAACATCCCAAGTTTACATCGAAGAATGCCTGAAAAAGCGTGTATTGCCGTTCATCCGCAAGCATAGCGGCAAACTCATCTTTTGGCCCGATTTTGCCAGCTGCCACTACACCAAGGTGGTTCTGGTGTGGTATGATGCAAACAAGATCGATTGTGTCCCCAAGCTAATGAATCCTCCGAATTACCCGGAATTTCGACCAATCGAAAAATACTGGGCAATTTCAAGGCAGTGACTTCGACGAAGCGGCGGGGTAGTCAAGGACATCCAGCAAATGCGGGAAAATGAAAGAAATCCGCTAATTCCGTGTCCGTCCACTGTGCGGGCGCTGATGGGCTCCATCAAGAGGAAGGTTCGAGGTTTCGTTCGAACTGGAGAAATGTAACCATCTTATGCTGTAACTTTGAAGTTTCAAAAAAGCACAGTAAAGCAACCATTAATGGACAGCACGAATTACAGGTCTTTTTGTGCGTCCCAATTTACTTTTACATACGAGTCATAAGTATTGACTATCAATGAACGCGTATACCATATTGGACAATTTTAAGTACATTTATATTTCATGTAAAATAAAAGCTCTACACAGTCACTTGATTCACCATGCATCTCCACGGTTCACTTTCCCATAAAACACTTATCGCAAATATCGCTTTGAGAAAATGTATAGTTTTCCTCCCTTGAGATAACAGTGTCTCTTGAATCCGATACTCCAAGCATTGTTGCATGGATCGACAGAAAAGAGTTGGTAGGTATGCCACAAGTGCAAGCAAGTGCAAACGAAACAGGAGTATTGTGGAGTGCATAATCTAGTGTGCATACCAACTCTTGCACTGTATGCAGCATTTCACCCGCCAGCAGTATTGGAAGCAAAACGAGCACTTAGCATCCAATCTATTTAGTATAAAGCTTGCCATTGTTCCACACAGGTAGCTTCGATAGAAGGCTCCTCAATAATGGATAGTTTTGCACCCAATCCTGACTGCCGGGAATCACAGCACTAAACATGAGGATGAGCCCTCCGCCCAAGATGTCATGTTCCAGTTCACATTCCAATGAATGACGAACCAAAACGAGGTGATACATACCTGAGGTTTCCCTTATTGGTGGCATACTTGATGTGATTGCAAATTGCTTCAAACATTCCACTGGTGGTGGTTACGTAGCGGCAGTCGAAAACCTTCACAGACGTCGTCCGGGTGGTGTTTGCCGGGATGGTTGTTTGCAGACAGGATGCGTTCGAAGATGCACCACCATCATCAGGATACGATGGTAGGATGCGATGCGAAATTAGAATGTGACGTGACGTTGACAATATCCAGAGGGAAAGCAGGCCGAGATGCGTTGCGATGGAATGTTGAGCAAGCGATTGGTTAACGATCCATTTTACAGCAAGACATGCAAATTTTCAAACATGGAGAAAATTGATAAATTATTAGTAATTGAAATATTCAGTGAATGGATTTATGTATTTAATAAACCTACTATCTCGAATACCGCCCACAAAAACCTTCAGACGATAAAGAAAGCTCTTCCAATTAGTCATTCAGAAAGCCAGCCCTTAAACCACGCTCAACCCGATCTACAGAGATTGAAATTCAAATCAGCTGGAACGTGCTGCTCTCGTGGTTTCTCTACAGAAAAGCAGCTTGTTTCACAAGAAATCCACAATTTGGCATACCACCACCTCTCGTAATCTGGTCTCGAGACACTTCTCTCTTTCCCCTTCCGTAACCGGAAGGCACTCTGATTTGGCTTCCATACTCCGCACTTAATAAAGTTGTTGCTTTTTCCCAGTTTCAAATCCTCACGTTGCTGTGCTGCTTCCAGCAATCGGGAACGAGCAAATTGTAACAGAAATACTGACTTCCGTTTCTCGGAATTTATGTGAGTCGAATTCTTGTAGCCCGCCTAGTTTGGTTTTGGTGAAGGTGGTGGACTCTGGTCGCCGCAGGCACTGCCATTGAGAAAAAGGCAATTTTCTTACGCCCCCTCATCCCATCCCCAAATAATAGAAGAAAGGGAGATAGACAAACAAACGCAGCCGGTGTGGATGTGGGAGGATTAATTCAAGCATGCAGCAGGTGGTTTTACGCTACCAGACTGCCAGGTTTACCGAGCTATGTAAATTAAAATGTTTTGGTTTTCTTCGGTTTTGTTTTGTTTTGTGTGTTTTAAGGTTGTTAGGCGCCCTTAATTCTGTTAAACGATAGTGGTTAAGAAGAAGGTGATTATAGGAATCTTCAAGCAATTAAGTAAACAATTCCACCTAAATTAGTTTCCGTCACCATCTTTGACATTGTTTTCCAAGACAACGCTCCGAAAACTGGAGCACACTATAATTAAATTAGGGACAGCTTGTACAAAGGTACAGAGATAACCGTTTAACAACCATCACCAGCAAAGCAAATCCTGTTCCTGAATGCAATCTTCAAGTGCATTTCCATCTATCCGTTGAACTATCTTGGTCGCTCCCTAGACTCTTCTCAAACGTTCAAGAGAGAACTTCTATAGACAGCCATTAGTAGGTACAGCTCGTCGTGTCGAGCTCGGACGATAGTTGAGCATAATTTAATTTTCACTTCATGCTCTTCTTCATTTAATTTACACACCTTTCCCATAAAGGAACCCGGGACTGGAAAAAGAATTTTCCTCAGGAAGAAGAGCATCGTCTGCTAATTACATAAAGAGTGTATGACTCTCAATTTAAATAATTAATGACTTTAACTATCGTTTTTTTCCGTGCAGATTCTTCCCGTTGTTTGTGAAGAATGACTCAGAGAAGCAATACCGCAAAGAGGTTAGGAATGATTTATCTCGCTTAAAACAATGAAAAAAAAATTCAAAATGATACGTAATTAGGTTTTTAAATACCTTAAACCAGTAGGAAAAACCACGATCAAAATTCGCATGAAAAGAATTTCTGAACACCCCTCCTTGAAACCCCGGAAATCAGCTAAAGGTAAGTGCATCTTACAACACAATGAACAAGGACAATTTCCCACCTGTAAATAAAAAAATAAATAGAGAAAGCACTTCCTACCTGCAGCTTGGACCACTGTATCCGTCCGATGCAGCGGGACGAGTTGCGCCACGCCAGCTTTGCTCCGTAGATCAGCTCCGTCTCGGTCAGTTGGTAGGACCCGGTGGAGTCGACCTCCTTCTGCACTTGCTGCCAGCGAGCTTCGTGGGCGGGAGATTTTAGCCTACCGGCGACGGAGGAGAATGAAAACGGAGAAAAAATCGTTAGAATTACAATGAATGGATGGGAACAAGGGACTCAGGTTCGATGGTTGGCCTTGTTCAAAGGACTTCCGGTATTTAATGCGTCGAAAGTTTTTTTTTTATTAAGTTTAAGTAATTAAATTTCAATCAATTTGATTGACGGAGGTTTACGGCCAGTGGTTAATTATTTTGCAAGCAGTTAATTTTATTCAATCAGGTATATCTGCCGGCCCATATTATGGAGTATCTTTATAACATACAGCGGTGATAAGCGATGTCCTCTTTTGTAAACTTGCTGGAGTAAATGTGATCGTAGCACATGTAAATAAAAATCAAACGATTGATACACCACTCTAAAGTATTCCAACTATCACGTATTATGGCGAAGCATGTTTTAATTACCCTAAATTAAACATGCATTAATTAAATTCATCATTCAAGATTCTATCAGATGCGATTGGCCGGAGTACTTTTGAATATTTTCTCATCAACCTGCAGTCTTGGAAGAATATATGAGAGACGTCATTTGTACTTTCTAACAGTTGGAGATTTTCAGAACTTGATCAACCTGATGTCTTGAAAGAATAACCAGAAACCTATGCAACGTTCCCTTAATATCTACTAAACGCCCTTAAGTTTCAAAAAATTTCGTAGAAGGTTCTCTGAATTTATTCCAAATTCCATATTTTTATTCTACGAAGATATCTGAACATCTTTTGAAAAGACCTCATCATCTACAAATATTTCTGAACATCTGGTAAATGCCTTGAAATTTGACGAAGTTCCCAAAACTCCCAAGAAGTTCATTGAGCTTTTGTGAAGAAAGATCTCTGACAAACTGCAACGAAGTTTCCTAAACTAAAGCAAACATCCCTGAAGATCTTAGAAGATTGCTGAACTATTTTTGGATCTGTACTTCTACGTTTCTCGTCGATTTTCCGCGAAGTTCCACGTATGGAATTTCTTGAACTTGTACGTAATTCCCTGAACTATTCCAAGCTCATGATTGAAGCCTCCTGAAATTATATGAAGATCCCCGAACAATAATAAGGTTCCCTGAAATTATATAATGTTTAACTTCTACGAAGATTCTAAATCCTAATGAGAGTTCCCACTCCAAAGCTTCAAAGCTTTTCGTAAAAACTAATTTTCCTGAAGCTATATGAAGTTTCCACAATTTCTACTAAGTTTCGTTATTTTTTACGATTTTCCTTGTTGTTGAAGAACTTAATAAGTAGGGGAACACTGTTGAAATTTGTATCCCGAAATTAGAACCCCATTAAAAATTGAAATGTTATACCTCCAATCCATAATGAGCCAAACGATAAGATACGAGAGTAGGTTGACTAGCTTATCACTCCATATCATTATCTCCTTTAGATCCGATCGCTTCACGATCGTGCCTTATAAACCCCGAACTCAACCAGCTAGGGAAAATAATGATCGGTTGGCCCTCGTTAAATCAGTATAAAATTGGTCTTTATCAAAAACACACAAAAAACCACCTTTCTCGTGTTCCTCACTGCATGGAAGAAAAGTACTCCACGAATTGTGCCACTAGTTGCCCCGTTTGTTCCTGCTTCGCTGACCACTGGTGTAGTTCCTGCTTTGCTGCTGCCCTGTTCGCTGTGTCCGCCGCTTCATCCAGGTTCGCCAACATTTTTGGTGCCGAAACCCGGGACTGCTAGGTCAAAACCATCATCGACCGGCTTGCAAGGTTAGCGTGGGTCACCTCCTCGAGCAATATTCGTCACCATTTTGGACGCTTTCACTGCTATTGTGTACCCCACGAAATCTTCAACCGGACTTTCCGCTGCATCGGCAGCCTTCTTGACCTGGACATCTGGACGGAATCACGGAATCAGCTGTGGTCGTAGTTGCAATTGCACAAGGAACGCAGGTCCTGCTAAGCGAACCCAGGTAAAGCAGACTAGTAACAATCAGGTGAGTCAACCAGACCATTTTGCCACACAAATACATCGGCTTTTGTGCGTTTCATTGACCTCACCGCCCATTTTGATACGTTGTGCAAGCCATGAGGAACACAAAGAAAACCAAAAAGCTTTTCGTGCGTCGAAATAACATTATTGGTTCCGCTAAGCTAATCAAACAATTCGATGAGAATTTTGTGTTCGATCGCGATTTCCCTCAACTTAGATTTCGCCTTGATAAGCTAGACAGTCTGTGGGAGCAATTTAATGAAGTACAGGCTGAGATTGAATTTGAAGAGGAATTGTCCGAGGATCTCGCGGACGAAAGAGTTGGTTTTGAAAACCAGTATTTTGAATTAAAAGGCTCTCTAGCTGGGAAACTCGCGATCGCCAATGAAAGGGTTGAAAGACCACCACCTAGTCCTGGTGCTCCACCTGCACACGTTCCTTCTGTTCGCCTTCCAGAACTTAAGATTCCTGAGTTCAGTGGAAACTATGATGAGTGGATGAATTTTCATGATCTTTTCACCACTACCATCCACACTAATTCGCAACTTTCGACAGTACAGAAATTCCAGTATTTGAAAACTGTACTAAAAGGAGATGCCTTGCGACTTGTTCAGTCTTTAGCAGTCTCAGCGGCCAACTACGTAATCGCGTGGGATTTGCTGAAGAAACGTTTTGACAACAGGAATCTGCTAATAAAGCAACACTTTTCGGCTTTGCTGTCCACTTCTTCGGTGCGTAAAGAATCGTCGTTGGCGCTGTCAAATCGGGCAGACGAATTCGATAAGCACATTTGCGTGCTGAATAAATTGGAGGAATCCAGAGATCACTGGAATTCCTTTCTTGTCGAGTTATTAAGCAGCAAGCTCGATCCAGTTACGCAGAAGGAGTGGGAAAACCAACTCGACGATGAGATGCGGCCAACATATGATGAATTGGTTGCTTTCATTCAAAAGCGCTCTCGCATACTCCAATCTATTACGCTCTCCCAATCTTCGCCACCTGTTTTCAAGACCGAACCAAGGTACGAGTCCAAATCTCCTCGATCAATGGCCAGTCTCTTGTATCGAAAGCATGCATGTCGTCTGTATTCATGCTTACTGCCTACGTGAAAGTCATGCACTCTAACGGCAGCTACATTCTCGCCCGAGCTTTGTTAGACTGTGCATCCGAAGCCAATTTTGTTACGGAATCTCTCGCACAACGGCTGTGTTCCAAACGAACACCAGCAAATATCGATGTGTACGGTATCAGTCAATCGGTCAAGAAAGTGAAGCACAAAACCAACATCACTGTGTCCTCACGATTAGGATCGTACACAACAAGCATGGATTTCTTGATTCTGCCCATGTTGACAAGAATTCTACCCACTGCCAACGTGGATATTTCGAAGTGGGTCATACCTCGCCACCTCCCCCTTGCAGATCCCAAGTTAAACATAGCCCACGACATTGATTTGATCATCGGCATCAAAAACTTCTTTTCGATTCTGGAGAATGAACAATTGACTCTTGGCAGTGGCCTACCAGTGCTGCGCAAGACAGTTTTCGGTTACGTCGTCGCCGGTGAAGCCATGGAAAAATCTGCCTCAACCGTAGTCTGCAATGTTTCCTCGATCGATAACCTGGAGTCGATTGTCCGCAAGTTCTGGGAGGTGGAGAGCTTCGAAAAAGGCAAGGCGCTTTCGCTAGAGGAGCTATATTGCGAAAATCACTTTCGAGAGACACACCAACGAGCCCCTGACGGTCGGTACGTGGTGCGATTGCCGATTCGTGAGGAGATGCTTGACTCATTGGGAGAGTCGTTCAAAATCGCTGAGCGCAGATTCCTGGCAATTGAGAGGAAGTTGTCATCCGTTGAGTACACGCTGAGTACTCAAAGTTCATGGACGAGTACCTAACCTTGGGACATATGGATGAATTTGAACCCAATCTATTGAAACCTCACTTCTATCTTCCTCACCATGCGATCCAGCGACCCGACAGCACAACCACAAAGACACGCGTGGTTTTCGATGCCTCGTGTAGAGGCAGCAATAACATTTCGCTGAACGACCTTTGCTACGTCGGACCTACGGTACACGTGAACACACTCGTGAACTTTCGTTTACCGAAATTTGCTGTGAATGCCGATGCCGAGAAAATGTATCGGCAAGTATGGGTTCACCCAGTAGATTGCTTGCTTCAACTGATCCAGTTTCGAAAAACTCCCAACGAGAAGCTGCAAACCTATCGGTTGAAAACGGTGACGTACGGGACGGCACCCGCTCCATACCTTGCCACTAGCGTCCTGAGCCAGCTTGCTGTAGATGAAGCAGCAAACTACCCGCTAGCCGCTCCAATGGTCGAAAACTGTTTCTACGTCGACGACTATCTCTCTGGAAACGACGACGCAGCGTTTGGTGGAAACAAACCGCCAGTTAATTGATCTTCTTCGCTCAGGTGGATTCAATATGCGAAAATGGTGTAGCAACAGTCCCACCGTTCTTTCTCACATTCCCGAAACTCTTCGGGACTCTCGAACTGAACTCCAAATCAGCCAATCGGGTTCGGTGAAAGCTCTCGGCCTTCTTTGGCATCCACTGTCGGATGAATTCAGTTTCAATGTTCCCGAGTTTGTATCGTCGGAACCGATCACAAAACGTCTGGTCCTTTCGGAGATGTCACGCTTATTCGATCCAATGGGCCTAGTCGGAGCAGCAATCGTCAGCGCAAAAATATTTCTGCAAGCTTTATGGTCGGAAAAGTTTAATTGGAACGATACGTTACCGGAGGAGTATCAGAAATGGTGGAAATTGAATCGGTTCGAAATCGAAACTCTTTCGATGCTTCGAATCCCAAGGCGAAATCTCGTGGACAACTATCGCACGCACGAAGTTCACGTCTTCTCGGACGCATCAGACAGTGCCTACGGATGCTGCATCTACGTGAAGACTATTTCTTCTACTGGTGAACAAGCATGCAAGTTGGTGATCTCGAAGTCTCGTGCGAGTCCACCTCGCAAACTATCAACGCCTCGACTCGAGCTGTGCGCTGCAGTGCTCG